ATGGGATTTCGATCACTACAATTCCGAAGGGACTATCTGAGATTGGTTCGGAGAATGCTTTTTCTTCGTACAGGTTGAACAACATTGGTGACAGAATACATCCTTGGCGGACGGCTTTTTTTTAATTTCAAAATCTTCTGTTGTTCCAGCGTTACTTATTTCTGCTTTTGGGTGCCAATACAGATTACCGTCCAACCTTACTGAATTAAAGCAAAGTAAATTAACTTACCTGATTTCTCATATCTCACACCAAATGACATCAAATGGATCGATAAACCAAGCTGTCTTTGAAATAAATAAAATCGATCGGGATCGACGGTCGATGTGTTGCATCTAATCACTCTGAAATTCCAGAGGAAAGGACGTTTAATTGCCTACTACAATGTCATACTACTTAATAAGAATGCTCGAATGCTGGTTTTTGAAATTACAACCCCATATTGGGTTGCTTTACACTTTATTGGCCCGCTTTTCACCATAATTGAGTCTCGAAATTATCGATCGAACAATTTAGAGATTTTGACCATCGACCAAATTTAAAAAATTCCATCTTGACACTAAATCTCCTTAAAAATTGCTGAATATACCCAAAAAGGTATTAACTAGTGAATCATTAAAGTCTGGGTAATTAATTATTTTGCGTATAAATTAAACTGATTTATGAAAATTCATTTTTCGATATTGACTCCGTTCCTATGAAATTTTAGACTGATCTAGAACTGCTTTCGGGTACGTGGTGATTCCCTTTTTTTCGTAAAAAAATTTTTGGTTTTATTTTTTTTTTTATTTCGTAGATATACTTATTCTAACGATTTTCTATTCTTGCATTGAAAATATTGTTATTCTATTAATGTTTTCTTTGTAGCATACTCTCCTCGAATCCTGAACTCTGCGTGCGTCCCTGCCTTTGTCGTTGTTATTTGATGTGTATAAAAACTTATTTGTATTTGTATTACAATTTCAGAAAATTGAATAAGTCGTGCCTCGAGTCCGATGTCATTTTGTGTACTTAACTTAGACCCTACCTACGCGTCTACCATCTTTTTCGTTGTCACATCAGGCTCCTGAAATTTCACCTTTGCGTGTTGTGATAAATGGTTGCCATTCAAATAGCTACGGCCTGTTATTTGCTGCAGTTACGCAAACGTTGTTAGATGTTATCGCAACTATTGTCGAGTCGTGTCGATGCCGAGAGGGACGCGTCGCGTCGCGTCGCGTCGCGGCGCTGGCTGGCGTGACGTTCGCTCGACGTGTGCAGGTAAAGCGTACACCGACGCCACCCGATCGATCGGCTTTACGAGTGGTCGTGGTGTCGCATTGACGTATTATACATAATAATTGTTTCACTGGGCTGTGACATTTTCATTGTCTTATATTAGTATGGGTACCGACTGCCGCCGTCCTCGCCGTGTGCAACACTCCTTGACGGCTCGAGTCGTTCGCCGCGACGCGCGTCCCTCCAAACAAAGCCCTTTTATTGTTTTTGAAACGGCGGAAAAGGTGCCGATGTTGCCATTTTTATTCAGGGGATAACACTGATTAACATCAAAGTACATGTTTTCAATTAACTTTAAAGGTCCATCCTTTTGAAAGCGTGCGACAGAATTTTCACATTCTGTTGCCGGATTTTTGGCACAAAGGGTGGAAACGCCTGCAGATGCTGATCTTTTAAGGGCCATTTCTAGTCCAAGGTGAAGTTATGAAAAAAATAATCTAAATCTGAACCGAGTACCTTCTACAACAATTAAAATTATTCACAATCTCTAATCAGTACTTACAATCAGAAAAATTAACTAAGAAGAGGGTACATGAAAAAGAAATTGAATGAGCCACTCGCATCAACCAGTGTTACACATAAACATGAGTGTAATGATCTTACCGAAAGCCTCAACTGCTCCGGCAATGATCACCAGGATTTAGCCGTCAAATGTTATATACATGACTGAGAATTGTAATTATATACAGCGGCAGTTTACTGTTCCTTTCAAGAAGTTAGAGATATGCCCCTTCCCTTTATTAAGATGCGCCGTAGCATAATTCCAAATTCAATCATATTTGTCTGCGGAGCTCATTTCTCCACCGATCATCGAGCGAGAACTAGACAAANCTAGGTATCGCTTCAACATAGGGGATCTATGTAGTAGTAATATGCATAAGAGTATTAAGCATATAGTTAAAACTACTGTGGATAGATAATCCTAAAAACGGGGTATTAGAAGGAGTAGGAGAAATCAATTAAGAATAGGCGAGGTGGATTGGTAAGACATCTTCACAGACCTATTAAAGGCAGAAACAGTAGTTACCAGGGGAAAAGGTAGACACAGATCAAGTAGTAGAGATGTAGGTTATTTTTCTAGTGGAGTGTCCAATTAGTCTTTGGGCTAAATACCGTGCGACAATGAACTTAAAAAGACAAGAGAATACTAGTTGTGTTGTGTTAGTGTTACATTCAATGTATGATGATGTGATTGACCATATTATCATATTTTCATTTCTATATCATAGATATACCATATGACTCGTTCTTTGCAACCGATCCTGTCGATCGTCTACATGAGTTTGCAGATAATTAGTTAGTAATCGACTTTCTGTTCTAGTACAGGTGCTTGAGATGATACAAACCTTTATTGAAGCCAATGATAGCAAATTTACGGTTATTAGTCTGTCTAAACTTTATTTTTATTGTGGGGATGGCAATCAATATTTTGCAATTAAATGTCTAGTCGTAAGAGTCATATTTATCTAGAACAGTAGTTTTCATTTGTTCCCGGCCATTGTTTCGACCAATCGACAAATTGGCCATTACTTTTGTTGATGTTCTGGTTACCTCTAAACTGCAACCAGAACCGACCGAATACTCTTTATTACCTTTCCAATTATATCCAGTAACGTGAACGGTTTGTATTAATTAATTTTGGCCGGATGGAAGAATTGCCCTATCACATTAAGCGCAGCTATGAATGTTTTTCCGTCGAGAAAGAATGGGAAGGTAGAGGGAGGGATATTGCAGACATCGACTTAAAATTTTTTGGCTAGGTAGTTACTTAAATCTGATCAATTATTTCGTGATAATAAATAAACCTTAAATTTACTTACTGTTAGAAAAGGGATCTATTTACTTTACGGATTGAGAAGACCCGAAAAAAAAGTTGAACAGTAGCAATAGTACAGACGTGAGTTCGGATACGAGATGCAGATGTTTTTTGTATTTAGTTGACAAATATGTCCCTAATTTTTTCTTTCGATAACGAATAAAGATACTTTATACTTTAGATATCTATTTAATATTTATTTGGAGTCAACTGCGCGCTTCAGCGCTTTAGGAAGTGAAGCAACATATAAATTAAGAAGTTACGATCACATCTTCGCGAAGCTGAGATTTCGTGCTGCAATGAATTTTTGCAAATTGCAGCTTGGATGAGCTATACTATGCACCCAGTAAACATGATCAATCTTAATCAGTTGTTATATTTGTCAGTATTAATTTTCATGCGTATCTACCCATTGGGGCATTTTTCCATCTACTACTATAGCACAGGACACGAGGAACGCAAAGTTTTGTTTTAAAATTTTTTGGCTGTTTCATTCCTACTACCCAGTAATGTTAGAGGGCGGGCAGTTCCTCCGGACTATGCCGGAAGGTAGGGCGGAAGGCCCTCTTCAGCCTGCTTTCAGGAATCGTGAAAATGGGTGGGTGGTGGTTCGGGTGAGAAAGATGAGACGGACGAAATGAAGACAGAAGAGAATGAAAGATTATCTGTGGAATATTACTGCCTCAGCATTTGC